TACTGGTAATCCTTTCTGTTTCTATGAGCTTTAGTCTTTCTATCTCCTTTTTATTAGTGTTTGTCTCCAAGTGTTCTGTTCTGTGTTGCTGTGACGTTAATAAACTTCCATCTACTTTCCAGGGTTGAGTGCAGAAGGATGGATTTGTGAGTCCTGAGTAAGTTGCAACCCCACCTTCCTTTTACAGACTTGCAGTGAGAACGCTTGTGCAGGAAGTTGGAAAGCTGTGTTTAATTCCTTCCTCTGCTTGAGGGTTTTTAGGCCTACATCACCCACCTCCCAGGAGAGGTCCTTAACCAGTAGATTGTAAGCTGTTCCAGGTGTTAAGGAAACTTTCCACCTCTCTGACCAAAGCTATGTCACTATTTAGCAAGTAATTCAAGATACATGTGGTGAGAAGGAGAGAAATCATGACCTGAAGCTGCTGACCGGAGTGCGCTGCTTAGAGCAAGAAAGCCTGTGCTCCCAAAACATACAGAAGAGTGTTTTACGTAATTTACTGAAAGGCTGTTAAATGTAAAATAACAGAAGCAGACTGAGAACAGCAACCAAAAATGAAGTCCCTTCACCAGGTGCTGTAAGCACTAACTGCAGTCTGGGCTATGGAAACCTTTGGCACATGGGCTGCAAAGGGAGGAGCCCCAGCTTCCTGCACACACAGCCATGTGCATGCCTTCCTTGTAGGCTATAGTCTGGTGCTTAGGGCACTTTCTTAAAAAATGCACTTCGAAGTATCCTCATCCTTCAAAGGAATTTGAAGTTGAAACTTTTGGGCAAAGGCTTTGCTGGACCATTGTAATGACACCAGAAAAGCAAGCAAGCAAACATAGTGATGTAAAAGCTGTTAGCTGTGATTTTAAAACATGGTGATGTGCAACCAAGTCCAGTCCTGTTGGTGTCTCTTAGGTCTGATCTGAGAATATGTGTAGACTTGAGTTCCCACAGGGACAAAGATTGAGAAACACTAAATGTCTGTACTTTAGTGTAAGCTAAATGCTAAGCTGCTCAGGGCTGTAAAACTGTTTTACTTTGGGGTCCGTAAAGTCACAAACTACCAGCCCTGTGCAGGATAGATAATGCAAAGACCAGGGGACATGGGTCGGTTTTGTTCTTCTCCATTTACATTCCACCAAACAGTCCACACTAGTTCTTAAATACTGTTTTGGATCCAGTCCATAGTCTCTGGTCTGCTATCAGGTTTCACTTAACAGTTTATTCTCATTTTTAACCTTACCACACAAATCAAAGATTTTCAGGTAAAATAAATTAACTACTTCAAGCAGGAGGCCACTAGAGTTATCTTCATTCACTACAATGCTATGTATATCTGGCCAACAGCCAGCTGCTCTTGAAATACTTATGAATGCCAGGAAAACTTGGCCTTTAATAAGCTCTCTAATTAACTACTGGTCTTATGATGTACAGCTCATTTTTCCTGTTGTTTCTTTGCCAAAGCTTAAGGCTTAACATCTATTGTCTCCTATGTAGCAAACGCATTTTCTATTCCTTCTTCCATTTTGAAACTTCTGTAATCTAGATGAAAGGCCAGATGCTGCATTCTTTCTTCAGAAATATCAAGAAACACATATTCTTAGAAGTTTCTTCTGCTTGGAGGCAATTAAACGAGTATACAGATCTGAAAAAGAGACTTTTAAAATGAAAGCTACACACCACAGCAAAATAGTTGTTAGAAATTGATCTTAAGTATCATGAGACTTCAGGAGTTTGAAAAATTGAGGGGAATCCAAGCAGATTTTTTTTAAATTGCATCATTACATCAAGGCCTTTTTTTTTTTTTTTTTTTTTTTTTTTTCTTAAAGAAAGTACTACATTCTAAGGAAATAAGAACTTTTAATGTACTCCCAGAAATTTTACTTTGGAAGTCTGTGACTGTCTTTCAAAACTGCTTGGGAAAACTAAAAATGTAGATATCAATGCTGTTAACAAATCATCCAGTATGGCCAGTATAGCTAGAGAAACTGTAAGTCGAAGGAAGATTTGCCATACAGATGTAAAAGATTGAAAGTGTTAACAGGTGTGATCTTTGTCACATCACTGAAAGCTGTGCTGTGGGGAAAGACCATTAACTAGGAAGTGATGAGTTAAGAAGAAAAGCATCCAATGGCAAAATTTTCAGAATATTTATCTCAGAGATGTCACTTCAAATTGTGTCTGTAATATATAACATGAGATGCTGTGAGTAGAAATATTGTAAATCATACATGGGCAAGAGAAATTAAGAAAGAGTTGAGGACATAACGGAGCCACATCCTGAATAATCTGCCTGGTTATGGACAAACTAGCTTAAAAAAATCATCCTCATGCAGTCACTGAGGACTGAGCACTACCAGAAGGCTCTGTGCATGTTCTCTGTTCAGAGCTTAGTCAGTGCACGCACTGCTCTAGTAGCAGATGGGCAATCTGTAGACATCCTTCCAATGACTGTTAGTATCCCTTTGTGACTCTATGAATAACAACTTCACACAAATAAGCTAATACCAGAAAATATTTCCTGTCTCAAGACCATTTACAGCCCTGCTCCACTACTGCCCAGCTGAAATTCAGTAGCTGGCAGCAGGACTCCCCATGTCGTCTTTCTCAGTCTGCAGGGGAGGCCCTCCAGATGTGGTGACTTAGCCAGCTGCTGGAAATGCAGTTGTGCTGTATCAATCCACTGCTTTCTGTCCACAGTGCATTTGCTTTCCTCTCTTTTATCTTATGGGGATCTCTGGTCCCACATTACCACCTTACCTCTATCTGGGGGCGTTTACCAACTGCCTGTGGGGTGTTGATGGAGCTAGCTAGTAAGCAGGATATTCTAGGGGTGACCATTAAGTAATAAAGTCAATCAAGAACTTTGTCTGACCTGAAGCTCAGTTATTCCTAAAGAAAGCATAAAGCCTGCTTTGTTATGTCTAGACAGCTGTTATGCAAATAAGCTTGAAGGCTACTAGTAAGATGTTGAGATGTTTGGATATATGTCATACTCTGGGAAATTATGGTAATGGAGGAACAACAACCTGATGAAGTGACTGCAATTCACAGGAAAACTGGGGCGTGTAATGTGGTGTAATGTCAGTAACACATAACGTATGAAAGATAACCAAACACTGCTATTTCCTTTCGTGCCTGTGTATGTGCATAGCTATTTTCTGATGTTTAATGAAGGTGGCATAATGCATAGCTTAGGAAATTTTTAGGATGGTATTACTAACCAGCCAAAAGTCGGAACGGATGCTTATCGTTAACATCCTGGTTATAATTTTTCAAAATCCAGAGTTCCCATCAGAAGTAGCTCTAAGGAGGCTTATGAGTCTGCCTGTTTGGAAAGACTGTGTTATTTTAATTACACTTGTGTTGTCAAATCTGAATAATCATTTTGAGATCTGATTGTGTTTGCTGTTACAGCTCCATGGCCACATCACTGACTTAGCTTCTTCTTGTATGCAAATGAAAAGAAATCATGCAATTTATGCATGAGGCATATGGATGCTGATATAATTGTATCATACTGGGAGGAATACTTATGTAAGCATCTAAGTGATAAAAATGCCACAGGCATAAGAGAGGACCAAATGGCACAGAATCTGTGTGTACAGACGAGGTCTCAATTAGTGTATTTCATACCATTCTTGGCACTATCAACATGAAGGTAGTTCAGACCTTCTTTACTAAGCAACTTTCTGTCTCATTTATGTGCTTTTTTGTATTTGTGTAAGAATTTCAGTTCAACTGCTTATGTGGATCCAGTTAAAATGGATCTAGTATAACTTCCTATACAACTTACGGTCATTTATGTAGATCAATTATATCACTACTAAAAGGTATTTATACTGGTACAAAGCCATGCATTTTCTGAGTTTTGTTACCTGATCTATGCTGCTGTAGGTAAACCACTTTAAACTACCCTGTGTAAAATGTACTGTTAGATTGAAAGGGCCATACTCAGAAGTGGTGCATAAAAGGATAAATAGAAATGAACACAAGAAAAGTAATAGGAATTTAAGTATTGCATCTTCTTTCTGAATAGAGTCTAGATCATAAGCACTACAGAATGGATTAATTATGAAACATTTAAGTCATTTATAAAGGAGATCTAGAGGGAAGAAGAGATTCTTAAAAATGAAGGAAAAAAAATAGAACTCTGATCATTTTGATAGTAGCAATTGATAATACTGCCTTGAAAATGATGTTTTCACTCAACCACAATTAATAATCTTAAGAGTGTTCCAAATGGCATGATCTCAACTTTTCCTTCTCAACTGAAAAAACCATATGTCTGACCAAAGCTTCATTTTTTAGTAGTAGTAGTGGTGGTGGTAGTAGTAGCATCCTGAAATAAATAAAAAAAACCTAGTGCTAGCATGTGACCTAGTTGTTGCACTATTTGAACTAGGAATCAAGAGGATTTTGCACTCTGTTCTGTCCTTGACTCCTTAAGCAACCTCTGAGAATTGCTAAAATACTTGGTATATTGGGTAATACACATTATTAATCATTGTACTACTGGGCGGGTGTGACATGAGGTTTAATATATAACGATCTCATTTATTTAGGTACAAGTAGATTTGCCTTTGAATAGAGAGGCAATCTGTAATTCAAGAAATGATTAGGAATGTGGTGCTTTATCTGTGCATTTGTTTTCACCTTTAGTAAATAAATATATTTGGATATATTTTATTTCTTCAGAAATGTTTCTATGGCATGTGTTTTGTGTACTAGTTCAGTGCAACTTTAAGTGTCTGCATGCATTGCAGAAATACAAATTTAAATAACAATAGTTAGTTGTAGATTAATTAAATTCAGTGAAAATTCTCCCAGTGACTTTAGCAGAGATTGGATAATCATGCTTTCAAACTGCATTGAGATCTTTAGATGTAAGCTCATATGACTGTTTTTATCCAGGTTCTGCTGTTTGCAAAGGACTGGTGGCTTTAGCCTGTTGTTACTTATGGGTGTAAAAATTTATTTTAATGATTTTTTTTTTCCTTCCTGGACAGGATTTATGTGGGCATCATTCATGTGATACTCTGGGAATGGCAGACGTTGGGACCATATGCTCTCCTGAGCGCAGCTGTGCAGTGATTGAAGATGACGGCCTCCATGCAGCTTTTACAGTGGCTCACGAAATTGGTATGCAGTGCCTTTTCTGTTCGCTTGCCAAATCAAACACTTGTAACAGCTGCATTAGTAACCAAAATACTTCGCAATTAATTCCAGATTTCCCTTGGTCCAGATACTCACTTGGGGATTAAGGCTGTATACATATGCACTTCAGGGTTAACTAATAAGGGATCAGAAGGCAAGTGAAGGCGCACAGTAGGTGTTTCCTTTCTGACAGTTTTTAAGCAGCAGTCAAAGTGAAAATTCAAAGGCTGCTGCTACTGTCCAAAAACGTCAATACATGTCCCTCCTGAGAAGGTGGTTGGTTTATCTATTACATTTTGCACGCATTTAGTGTATACACGATGGAAAATAACTCACCTTTTTGATCTACTTGCATTATTGTTATGAAACTTTATATGGAACAGAGAAGATTTTTATGGAAAAGAACAAAATCTTTTTCCAGGAGAATTGAAATGCTACTTTTATGGTAAAATGTAGTACCAGTGTGAATCCCAAGATAAGTGAAATAGTATGTAAGTGTTAATAATTTGTCAAAAAAAACTGCTCGACTTGGTTTCAGTCTCCGCTTTAGTAGACAGCAGTTTCACGTACGAGTGTTACTCACACACTTGAGAAAGATCTAAGATAGAATTTGTGACAGAAGAAAGTTTGTATTCTGGGACGTTACATCTGGCATGCTATATTCCTTGAGGGAGACTGCTGCCATCTTGGCTATTTTTAACTTTCTAATACTTCATGACCTGTGTTCACTAGAAATACATTCAGTATGAAGGCTATTCGCTTTGGTGAGTGAACAGCAATTTAAAAGGGGACAACATTCTTTTTTTTTTCTCTTTTTTTGAACATTCTTGGAAGGAAATAACAAGGAAAGGAGAACTTTCACAGGGAGCCAATTTCTGAATTGCCTTGTACTTTTTGCCAAACCAAAGTAAAGTTTGCTTTGGGAGTATCATTGCAGTAGTTCAATTTTCAAGTAACTAGCAGGTAGAGCCTAAGAGTTCTGTGCCTGATATATACCTGGCTCAGCAACCGGAGGTCACCAAGTATGAAAAATCAGCTGGCATGTTAACGTCCAGATCATTCAACCATTAGTGAGCCTAAGCCTGCAGCTTTTACAGTGCCACAAAGAAACGAGATCAGGCGTGGATGGATGGAGTTCATGTGTTGAATGAAAGCACAAGACATTATGATAGAATGAGTCCCCAAACCAGAAATTTTATTTTAATAAACAAGGTGGTTTGTTAATAAGAGAAGAAGCGATCTGAAATTACTAGAAACATACAGCAGCATCTCAAATACAGCTTAAAAACAGATGTGTGCAGTAGTATCATACCTGGATTCTATAAAGCCAATAACCCATCACAAATGGGACAAAAAGACTGGCAAAGTTAATCCACCACTCAAAGGCCAGTTTCCTGGAGGTACTTTTCTATCATCTGACATCCCAAAGTGATATCTACTGTTGAGGGTTTCTGGGCATTGGTGAGGTTAGAATCTGAGTGAAGGACCTCCTTGGGATGCCAATGTTGGTATATACCTGTTGTGCAAGGCAATGGGCAAAGTGTTTCGACTGCCATTCTATCAACAATAGATACATGTGAAATATGTTAAAAATGAAAGAACATAGATCAGTTCTGACAGAGGTGAGGAGTACATATTGTTACCTTGAATTCCACTCAAGGAATTCAAAGGAAATGTAAACACAAGTGAATTATTTTTAGTGATCTAAAAGCGCTTTTTTGAAAAACAGCCATTTTCATACCTAGAAGTTTACAGGAATCCATAAAAGCTATAATTTTCAATGTAAAAAAGCATGGTTTGAAGCAGTTGGTTAAATAAGTACCCTAATAAACCAAATAACTCTAGTTTGAGGTTATTTCAAATAACATCCCTTTTTTCCTTCTTACCATAAGATTTTAAGAAAGGAAGGGTGTCAAATCACACATTTTGTGTGTGTGGCCTAAAGCGGGAGATGTTGAGAAGAAAACACAGCTGAAATTGAGTGCATACTTAGGTTAAATTAAAGGTCAAAAAAGGATGAAAAATAAAAGTATGGCATGGATACCCTTTAGTTAAGCACTTTAGGGAAAACTTTGCTTTATTTTATTTGGAGACCAAATTTCTTGCCTCAATCCAGGAATCTTAAAGTTCCCCCTGTCCTGTGGGCAGGATGTAGTTTTAATTTTACGGCGACTTAGTTGTTCAAGAAGTTCATTTTGCAGGTTAGGAGATGCCCTAAAAGATAGAAAGGATTCTTACAGCTCAAAGCCTGAGCTGCTCCTTTCTGTCAATAGGGAGAATGAGGTGAGTCATTAGGCATACGGTAGTTACTGTCTGCAGAATGTAAATAACTCTACCTAATGTGTGCATCTGTAGTAGATGCAGCATCATAAGTATGGATTTGATCTGAAGAAAGACCGTGTCCCTACTTTGACTTCAAGGTGATCTGAATGCTCCCGTTTCCTCTCTCAGTGTTCCAAGAGCTTTTTTGAGGATCATGTTCTTTCTCTGGAAGGTAACCAAAGTAAATAGTGCTGCAGCTCAGCCAAGCAGGACGATGCACAACCCAAGGGTTCAGAGTGGATACATTCACAGGAAGCCAAAAAACTGCAGAACAGAGGCTGCTGCTTCAATTGGTTTCTACCACATCATGTATTAGACATTTATTTTATTCCTTTTAAATAAAGTGGATGGATTTTGACCAGTAGTTTTTGAGGGGGAGAATATGAAGGAGCAGCAACAACAGGCAAGATCTCTAAAGAAATGTAAACAAAAGCGGAGAAAGAAATAGATACAGCCAAATTCATAACACGCTAGTTGGATGACAAGCTGTGGAGACTTGTATATGAAGAGCAATGGGTCAGAACCGGAATCTTGTCTTAGTTTTGTGTAGTAAAATTGGGAACCATTTGTCTGGTGTCAAGTGCAGAAAACAGTACAGCAAAAAACTACTGGTAAGGATATCTTTTAGCTTTGAAAGTGGTTGTACAGCCTCAGAATAAAGAAAGATAATGTTATCAGTACAAATGTGATTTTTAAGTCATATCCTATCAAGGCATTCAACCACCAATGGTAAATCCAAATACAGTTATTTTTTCATAGGGGATATGTTATTGTCAATTTAGACAGTAGTAGCTTTGCTGCCAAAAAGTAGTTTCTGTACTGTTGCCTTACATCATGAGTTCAGCTCCATGCTGTGGCACAGAGATGTCTTTTGTGACTTTAGGCAACTGCTTGAGGGTATGACTCCATAGCACTGCATATGTATCAGAACTAGTTTAGGCAAAGCATCCTCCAAGTATTTCTTATCATCAGCCTATGGACTGTAATAAAATAATGCTTTGTTATTTCATGGATTTCCCTGCATCACAGTGACATCTGGAGAAAAGTGTTAAATAATCCACAATTGCCCATAATCTCAACATTTACTTAACAGTTTTCATAGGTCAGGGCTGGTATATTGCTACTCCTGGTCTTATGGGAGATGTCCCTGCCTTTAGCAATGGGGTTGGAGCTAGGTGATGTTAAAGGTCCCTTCCAATCCAAACCATTCTACGATTCTATTCTATTCCCTTATTAAAATAACTATCAGGAAACAAAAGTGACTAGATTTATTTCTCACTCTAATACTCTATTCTGTTTGGGTAGAGATTTTGTTGCTTTTACAATGCTAAATTCTAAGCCTGAAGATGTCTGATATAACATGATTGAAAGACATAGTCAATCAATTTCAAGTCATGTTTAACATCTCTCACGGTGATCCCATATATGCAGTATGTTACAGTGTTTTTTCAGTAGCCCAGTTTTGTATTTTGTCATGCAGTACCCTTCAAAAGGTCTTCATTCCCTCCCATACTGGAGTCCTGCAGGTTTCAGTGCAAACAAACCACCAGCCTCAAAGGTTTATAATCTGTAAAAGGAAAGAAGTGTTCAAGAGAAAAGAAGTGGAGCTACTGATCATTTTATCAGTAGGCAATACAGAGATTTGGTGACTTTCCCAGAATCAAAAGGAAGTCTTACGGAAAGACAAGGATTAAACTTGCCTCTTGAGTTTCAGTCTAGTCCTTAAATACAAAAGCATCCTTCCTGCAGTCTGTAAGCAGGCAAGGCTCCAATTCAGCTCAGTGAAAATTAAATGAGTTTAACAACTTAAATTATATGTATCTTTATTCTTTCCATCAATCTTGAGGATTTTTTAAGAGCAGATATAGAGAAAGCTCTGCCTTTTTGCTCAGTGGTAATGTTCATTTGACCTTTTTGCAAAGTTCCTATTTCTCTGTTGTGTAATCACGCTGGCATGCTATTACTCCTTGTATCCTCCTGAGTAATATGGTTTACTGATGTTCTTTCCAAGTATTTTATTTTTAGATTATAGCTTAAAATTGCTACATGGAACTAATTAAACCTCTGGTCATTAATTTTCTTTATCTTTTGCATGTGACTTTAGAGCCAGAAAGACTGAAGGGGAGTCATAAAAGCAGTCTTCAAATATATTCAATAATTGTTGTGAAAATGTACATAATAAATCATTCTCCATGTCTACCTGGGACAACACATGGGGTAATAGCCTTTGCACTGCAGCAAGGGAGCTTTCCTTTAAGCATTAGCCAAAGTCATTTAACCATAAAGACAGTTCAGCAAAGGAATGAATTGCCTGGGGAGGCTGTGAAGTTTCCATCACTGGAGGCTCTCAAGAGTCAGCTGGCCAAACAGCCGTGGCTTTTGGGATGCTGATCCTATCTTATGGCAGAGGGATGGACAAGATGACTTTTCAAGCTCTCTTCTTAGCCTCATTTCTTAGGGCTGTGTGATGTTATTCCAACTACTTCTCCATCTGTATTACACAGCTGAGCACCTAAAATCAAGGAACAGTACAGAAACTAAAACTGGAGAATAATATGTTTAAAGGAAAATCTTTTTAAGCTTGCCATCATCCTGTGGCATCTACCATCACTAGAGAATGAAAATAACCTGAATGCTGTCAACAAAGTGCAGTGTTTGCCTGA